ATATAGTGAAAATTCCGATGTTAGGTTTTCAGTATCCAGTTTGAGAAGCAGAAGAGAGATCTTGGTGTTTGTTTGCACGAAAAGAAATGCATATGACTTCAAGGCCAGCGGCAGTATTGTTCTTAACTCAACGTCTGCATGGAGTATTGGGGATAGGAGGTGGGTTGTGACTTTGTGGGCAACACATAGGAAATAAATCTAATGCGAAAATGGTTGCAAGCGATCCATCCCGATTTAACCAAAACAGACTTTTTCATTGGCTATTTTTGATGCTGATCATGAATCTGTTATTCATTTCGGCCCATATGGCTTGTTCTGGAAGAACTTATCAGTATGTCTGAAAACTTGCGTTTCGTGTGTAATTTGACTTGCTATACAAATTAACCACATGAGAGTCTCGTCTTTTAATTATTCAAGATGATCTATAGTGAGCTAGTTTCCGGCGAAGGACAATAGAAAAGCCATAGGGGCCGAAATGAGTATCAGATTCGTGATCAGTATTAAAAATAGCCTCTGAAAAAGTATGTTTTGCCTAAATCGGGGTAAATCACTTACGACGGTTCCCTTGTTAGTAGATAACTATTATCGAGAACATCAGCTTGTTGAGCGAAAGCGGCAATACACGGTAAAGATATATTCATATATTATTTCCTAGACAACTGAATGCAATTATCTGTTCTGTAGAATGTATGATTTCAATTTCTAAAGTAAAAATGGGTTCTACTAGCCATTAGTAATTGTTTGAAATTGGCCAGAATCGTAGAACATGCTATAACAGAAACGAATAATAAGAAAATTTTAACGATCAAGAAAATAAGGAAAACTCAATAAACCCAGAACAAAGGAAAGAGAATCTTTTTCTCTTAGTTCTGACGGTATGGTATTTCATCTACAATAAATATATGTAGAGGATGACAGAAAAAAGATAGAAACAAAATTTACTTGCAGTTTTTGTCGACTGCGTCGATATATAAGCGCCAAAAACGATACTTTGTATTTCTTACAGCAAAAATCGAATTCATTGATAAAAGAACAGAAGAACGTTTATAGAAGACGTAAAACAAACATGGTCAGTGTTTTGTGATGCAAAAGGTCATATTTAACTCTATGAGTGAAAACGTTTTTTGTATTTTGGTGTTCAACAAAAACAAAGCGACAGTATCAATTCAGTTAAGAATAAAGTAAATACACGTGTAGGTGATCCAATAATATCACGATTCAATTTCATTTAACACAATCATGTGGTGTAATACTGGATGTCAGAAGCTCATATTGTGTTTAATTGTTGTCTTTCTTATAATCAACAATGTATCCAGTGAAATTCTGAATATTCTGATGCCAGATGCAAGAGCAACACAGGTTGGTAAGCTAAAAACGTTTTTCGACACGATTTGAAAATACTATAATAAATATCTTTTACACCCGGTTTTCAGCTACAGGACTCAAATCTTGGGTACTTAGACTTGCCCCTACTGCGCGAGCAGTCTTCTGTAATACTATCCTGTACTTTCTTAATTAAGTTGAGAGTATATACGCCGAATGCCATCAAAATTTTGACGGTACGATCTTTAGAAACAGTTAACTATTTCTCTTACTGATTGTTGTTCTGACCCATCTATGGAGAAAACACCTAGATTGTCAACATTCTTTATGTTTTGTACGAGTTTATTGCCGTTACAGAAACAAAATATTTTGGCTTGATTTAAACTTAATAAAGTTATTTTAAAAGCATTTGTTTCATCAAGAAAACAATCCAAAATTTTTTAACTAAGTCGAGTCTCAAAAACACGTGGTAGAAGCCAAATGTGATAGAAAGATTAATTATTTAGGTCGATGAATATTTGTGTACAGCCATTGAATTGAATCATGAATCACCAATTTTTATAAGTAAGATTCCATAGCGAAACGACAAATCACTGATCAACAAAATTTTCTGTCGCTTTTAGCCGGTTTTAATCCATCAGCAACAGCAAAAGATGCTCATCATATGTTGTTATATGGATGCACTGAGCCGGGTTCACAGAAAAAAATTTGGTAAGTATAGATAACCATCCGCAAATCAAGCTAATTTAAAACATCAGGAGCTCTTCTCTATCATAGGAATTGCGGTGAAATGGCCAATGGTCGTTCGGAGTATGCGTCTGGTCAAGTTTGTGCGTCGGGATCAACAATCATTTATGCATGGGCGATGGATGCTCCCTCATTAAAATTACCAAACGGTAGAGATATAAAAAGATTGAAGTAGCAACAAAAGATTCCTTTTTGCTCTTTAGATGTTGCATTTAAAGTGGGTGGTAATACAACAATAAAATATCTTGTCGTTCAAGTTCATTATGCTAATATTGACAAATTTCTTGGTATGTATCTCTCTACAAAAAATGTCTCCCTACAGACTTTATTGTCGTTTTTTTCTATTTATAGCGGGTAAATCTGATCAATCGGGAGTTGTTCTTGAGACATCCAAAAACTCGTAAGTTATCATTCAACTGATTGTAGACTATAAGGGTTTTTTAATATTTTCTTATTTACTTCTTTATACAAATACTTTTGCCAGACTATCCAAGACAGTTGGCATCTTACTATTGCTCACTAATGGCCATCTGAAACCACATTCTATGGGTAATACTCTGGGCTTTTCTTTGTTGTTTGTTGAACGTCTACGTTTCTATGAACTAGTACATCATCTTGAAAATACTTTTTTTGTGTGAAAATGTGTCGTTCTCTGTACGAATAGCTGTTGTACTGTTATTAAATATAGTCATTTACACACTTTTAGTTCGACTAAGCGTGCTGGTATTTATTTATTACTCACTGGAGGACAAATCAATGCTCGAACAGAAGGTAATTTTTTTCAATCATTTGAAATAAACTATTTTGCATCTGTCGTTTAGTTCTTAGTAAAGACTTTTGCACAATGGTAAGGATGTGTTAGGTAATTCATATTGAGATTGATCGCGAATTTGTGAGAATAAGCGAGCTGAAAATAAAACGGTTATCAAATAGTGCAAACTGATTTTCAATGAGTATAGATGATCAAAAAACTTGCTGTATGAAAGTATCTGCTCCATATCTTCCTCCGCTTAGTCATCAACAACTGTTTTAATCTAAACTTTTTTTATCTGATAAAGTCTTATTTAAGATTGTGCTTCTACTTCAGATAGCTGTATGATGTATGCACTATAGTATTTCATACTCAGTGTCCGATTTTTTTGCTACAGTTTAGTGATGCCTAAAACATTTTTGGAGACTTTCTTTCTATGGGGAGACATTTTATATACCAAAGGAGAGAACTGATAGACTACCTAGAGTCTGTTATATAATCTAATTAAAAAAGTTTAAAAAATTGAAGATGCAAAGTACATACTTTTGTGCAGAAACTTTTCGATCTTCAGTTAACTTCATTACACGATACACTAATTCTCACACAACGCTGATTTATTTTCTACTCATTGTGTTATCACCGAACATTGATTACAGATTTTCACCGCTCACTTGTTAATCCTCACTTTTTGTTTGTTCTACAATTTTTATTATTATTTGAACATGCTAGTGTTTAAACTATTAAATTAATTAATTAGAATTCAATTATTGACTCTCTTTTAGAACTGTTTGAAGTCGCATGTAAAATCAATCAAAACATTGTCATGCATCCATTCGCCTTTAGAACTCATACACATAAACTTGGTACGTATATTGCGTAACAAAATAAAAACGAATTTCTAACAAATTTTTTGTGTAGGTCTTGTTAATTCTGGTTATCGTGTACGAGGCGATTATAAAGATCAAGTTTGGACAGAAATTGGTCGTCGTTCACCTCAACTACCACAAATGTTTTACCCCATTAACAATAGTATCACACTAGAGAAAGGCGATTATGTAGCAGCTGCTTGTACAATGCGTAATATACGATCAAAAACCGTCAGAGTAGGGTAATTTTGTGTTATTATTCATATTAACGTTTCGCTGTAAGTTTTTGAATGTTTGGGTAGACCAACGGGTGATGATGAAATGTGTAATTTTTATATCATGTACTGGGTCGATGGTGAAGAATTAATCGACCAAGGTATTTGTAATAGTGCAGGACCGCCTCGTTATTACTTTCGAAGAAACAAGGTATGCTTATTATTAATGTATTTAAGGGTACCCCTCTCCTCTTTTGGGCTTTCTGTAGAAATGCTGTGAAATAAAAACTAAAAGTCACTAAGACTTCATATTTTCAGAACTGATTGAAAACTCAATGGAGCACGTTTTCGTTTTTGTTTCAAGTTTCTAACTATTGCCGTTCATCAGTTTTCCAGAAAATTCGGTTTTTCATTGTGTCACATTACGACCCCCCTTAAATTTCATCCGATCGAGTTAAAAATTATACCAGAGGAACTCAAGGTCGTAGCGCAGAAATATAATTTTGGAATTATATTCTAAAATTTAAAAACTTGGTTTTTGAAAGTTTTTCGGTATTTTCTTATAACTCGGTAAAGATAGGTCTAAAATATAATTCCAAAATTATGTTTCTGCGCTATGACCTTGAGTACCTCTGGTATAATTTTTAACTCGATCGGATGAAATTTAAGGAGGGTCGTAATGTGACACAATGAAAAACCGAATTATCTGGAAAACTGATGAACGGCAATAGTTAGAAACTTGAAACAAAAACGAAAACGTGCTCCATTGAGTTTTCAATCAGTTCTGAAAATATGAAGTCTTAGTGACTTTTAGTTTTTATTTCACAGCATTTCTACGGAAAGCCCAAAATGAGGGGTACCCTTAATGTAAAATCGTATATAATCTTTACTTGATTTATTTCAGAATTTGAATGTTGATAACATTCCGAGCGACGCTTTCCGAGTTCCACCGCCACCTAATGGTCCAGAATCGGAACAAATATTAAATGAACATATGCAACATAACCTAAGACACATATCATCTTTGGAAGATAAACATTATTTTAAACAGGTTAAATGAAACAGTTTTTCTGTGAACAAGTCATATATACGTTTTTATTTTTATTTCATATGATATTTTCCTAATTCCTCTCTTGTGCAATAATACTGATACTTTTACAATAAAGATATATTTTTATTTTAATTATGTGTTATACACAATAAAAAGCCTAAGTAAATAGTTTAAACTGAAAGAACGTGATTTATTCTAGATCAAAACTTGTATCAGAAAAACATTTAAGAGAGATTTTGCGAGTACATCGAGCAATATTATAATAAAGCAAAATTTGTTTTTGTCCGAATCATATCCGTTCGACAGAACCTACAAAATTAGATATACCAATTCTTTCACATCTCAAAACCTTTTTCGAACTGAAAGATTGATTTTCAAAGAGATGAGAGTCTACAATTTTAGGAAAAAATTTTCTTTTTCATAATTCAAATAGATAAAAAGATATATTGAACGTAGTAAACTAGTATTTGGATAGATAGCTTTTCAACGTTGACGAATTTCTAGCTGCTCCCATATTATTGTTATATAGTAAATGTGAAGGACCGGGTTACATCAAGAAATATCGTTGTATATATATCAGATACAGATGTGGAAAAAATTTCAAACTGGCTATTTAATACTACGTTATTATGCGCCATCATTGTCAAGATAATCATCAATCAAATAATTATTTAGGTTTATTAATATCGAATGATCGTTAAAATCTATTCAATGAGTTCAAGACTAATATAAATTTATTACATTCCGGTGTTCAACTGTTCATTCTGACGACACAAAGTATCCATGATAATAAAACATTACAAAACTATTCTAAAATTAAACATATTGTACAGGTTGATCCAAAAAATACTTACCTCCTGTGTATTTATTGACTTTCTTGTGTACAAATATAATCGAATTTTTTATCATTAGTTTATTCAAATAGAGCAAAGATTTCTGGACAAAATGAAACGTCTCCGAGCTCTGTAAGAACTTTTTTCATGAAACAGTATTGAATTTACGGAAGGTCCCAAGAGCATATTTTTCTTGTTTGCCTATTAATTGTCCCAATTTGGTGGTATGGGATCTTCCGTAAATTGAATGCTGTTTCATGAGAAAAGCTCTTCGAGAGCTCGGAGACGTCTCATTTCGTCCAGAAATCTTTGCTCTATTCGAATAAACTAATGATAAAAAGTTCAATTATATTTGTACACAAGAAAGTCAATAAATACACAAGGGGTAAGTCTTTTTTGGATCACCGTGTATAATTGAAATGATATAGATGCTTGTTCAATAGTAAATGGTAATATATCTAATAACAGCAAAAACAGAATTTTCATAAAATGGTAAAATCCATTAGTGATATAGTAAAAGTATTGAATGATAGAATAGAAGGTATGCGAATTGAAAAACAAATTTTATCTGAATCGTTTAGTGAATTTAACAGGAAAGTATCAATATCCGCTATTGAAATTCCGTAGTAAAAGAGTCGTTCATCTTCAAAAACTAAAGTTTTATCTTTTCTTTTTTAAACTGTCAATTCTTTACTTATATGGAATGTCGATGTGTATACTTCAATTTCGTATTTTAACCGAAATACGAGTACAGACTCAAAAACTTTTTTACTAGTTTTTTATCCAGTCTTGTAGGGTTTGGGACTAGCTAAACCCTGAGGTTTTGAAATCAAAGATTTCTTACAACGATTATATTTGTTTTTTATTGGTATCAAATCCTAGGATACAGAAAGTTTTCGTGTTTCTCCTTCTACGGAAAGAAAGCTTTCTTAACAATTTTCTAACAATATGGTACTTAGATCATTCAACGATGATGTCTAGTATTGACATCGTTTTTGAGCGAAGCCTGTCCTTCTACAGTAATTTAGCGTGTAATTAAACTTTATTTGCAGAGAAATGAAAGAAATTAGATAAAATAATTTTAAAAATATTTTATTTTTCTTCTACATGAAAAACTAAATCTAAAAAATGTATTTTTGGTTCTATTCAAATATCGTAAGTCCATGAAAAATTTTAGTTTTTCGCCAATAGATGAAATACCTCTTCCGGTCACGGTAAAACGTTTAGTTTTGACAGTAAGCATAAATGGGCAAGTCATTTTTTATTAAAATGAAAAGTCTTGATCCAAATATGGTTTTATAGTCCCCATATAGATAAGAAACTATGAAGAATTCATTTTGATGATAAAAATGTAAAAAAGATTAGAATGTTAATTTAAAAACAGGAGAAAATAAAAGCAAAGTAAAGGTTTGTTAGTAGTAGCTAAAGAATTTAAGATACCTGTACCACGAAGAAGTAAATTGGATGGTTTGAGAACACTGTTAAGTCACCATTGGACGTTTCAAAATGTAAGACGGTTAGATTTCACTCTTCATCTAATGATTGCTTACTCTTTCGATTTACGTCTTTTTAGGTATCTAAACTAGAAAAACTTGCAAACCAATATAATGTAAAAATTATTTTCTCACCGAAATATTATTGTGAATTAAATAGTATAGAAGGGCTATGGTGTCATCAAAAAGCATTTGTTAGAAGACGAAGTGGTCAAACATTTCCAACTATGATTAAATCAATTAATGAATCAAACGTCGTTTTTTATGTTGGTTGTGTTAACAGACAGTTGAATCAGATAATGGAAATGGACAACAACCAAAACCTCAACCACGTTCATGCAAAAACTAGGTAAAACTCCGATTTTTAGCAAAAAAAGAGTTTTCCAGAAGTCTTCTAGGAAACCTCCGAACATCTTCTAAACATTTCCAATCAATTCTTCATAGTTTTTTATCTATATGGGAATTATAGCCAACATATTTTAAGGATTTTAAAAATTTTAGTTTTTTAAATTTTCAGTCTCAAAAAGAGTTTTCGACATTTAACAGACAGTTTTGAGCCATGTTTGAAAAAGAAATTTTTGATAGTCTTGATAAAATGTTGAACTAGCCTTCTTGTTGATTCAGTCCTATTCTAACTACGGCATTTATGAATGACAACACATTCGAGTAGAGAACACATTTTACTTTACTATTTCTATTTATTATACGTTCTCAAAACGGCGTCACCGACTGTTAATGTGTTTGAAAAAAGTGTAGAAAAGTTGGATTATTTTCTTATTAATCATTCGAAAATGGGCCTTAACCCTTTCCAGCCGGCTGTTTCGAAAACACAGCAAAAAGCGTTGCCAAATGGCAACATCAGGTTGGAAAGGGTTAACTAAAGCGCCTAACTAACGAAAGTGAGAAGTGATCTACTAGCTTTACATACTGAGACCGATAATACAGTCTAGTTGTCTGAACCGTCTATGCTGGAAATGTCTCAGATCCAACAATCCGTTGTTCAAATCTACCCATATGACGATGTTTTCTTCTCGCGTTTTTTTCTTATCTGTTTTGGCTAGGAGTAGCAGCATATATACTTCGAGAACGCTGATCATGATTCTGAAATCATTTTTTCGTTTAATGTAGTAGTTCGTCAGAAAACTGGCAAATAATAAATTCTTTTAACACACCTAGCTTCTTACACACTGAGATTGACCGTCTAGAAAAACTACTCACCGTTCGATGCTGAGTCACCGTTTAGACGATTTACACACCTAGTATCACACTTTATTTTTTCCAGTGCGCTAGGAGAGTAATTTGCACATAACGTTTTTTCCTGATGAGTGAGATAGAACCTGCAGTTTTCGCCATTGGATTCAGCATGCAAAAATGCTTCAGTTGATGCGTGCCTTGTTATTTGTGCCAAAAACGGATCTAATGGTGGTAGGTATCATATGGATGGATTAAGCCTTTTACATTTCCTCTTATAATAATCAATTACATTTTCTTATATAATTATGACTATTCAACCTTAAACCAAGTTTTTCTCGTATTAGTATGTTTTTCTAATTTGTAGCATCATAAAAATACTATTTTTCTAAGTTAAAAATGATTTAGAATAAATTTCATACTTTGGGCGGAGGCGAAAATTTACTAAAATTTTGGCGG